CCCAGGGGTAATGCCAGGGTCTTGCCTGCACATTTGCTTGTGTCCTGTTTCCCAGCTTCAGTTCAGGATCCACGAGGGCCCAGGGCTTGACAGGGACACTCTGTGGGTGAAGCCACAAGCAAGGGTAGACAAGATGGCAAGCTGTCCTCACAAGGCAGGCCACACGGTCCTGGAAGTCCCCAACACTGTCATGGACCAAGATGATCCATGATCTGCTGGACGAAGAATCCAGCTGGCTGGACGCTCCTGCCCGCCCGTGCCGAGGTTTAGCTTGCAACTGGGGCAGAGGATGGACGTTTCAATTCCAGTTCACGGTCAGGGCCTGGGTGGGGGGAGGCCAGGCACTGCAGCAGGGTCAAGGTAGGGAGCTCCTCCTGGGACCCCGGGGGTGTGACCTCTGCACTTCCAATTACTGAGCCGGGTCTGGGAGGGGCTGTGCAGCTAGTGAGAAGGGGGCTCCTCTCCCTGATGCCCCTGGGCCCCGCCGGAGGTCGGTGAGTCAGCACCTACCGACTCTTTCTGATCCTGGAATCTGGCACAGGATTTGGCACGGCGTAGGCGTCAGCGGGAGAGGCAGTGCCGCCCAAAGACTTGCGGAGCCAAAGACGAGATGTGGGAAAGATCGCCCATCTCTCTGAAGCGTCCAGAAGGTGGGAGACAGTGGGAGGAACCCAGGCTTTGGGTGGAAACCAGCCCACAGTCCCAGCCGTGGGGTGGGGTGAGGCTGGTCTGTTGAAACTCAGTCCCTTCCCCTGTCCCTCCTCACGGGGTGGTGGCCATCAAGACAGAGTGCGCAGGCGTTGGGGGCAGGCGGTGTGATCGGCTGGAATACGCACTTCTGGGGCCTCCGAGCTGACCTTGTCCCTGGTGCCAGCACCTGAGGGTGCTGACACATGGTGAGTGGGGGCCAGTGCTGTGCGTGGTCTCGAGGGATTGAGATGCGACCTGGACCAGCCTCAGACACGGGGTCCTGGGAGAAGGCTGCAAGGGCAGCCCACGACCGGCCAAGAGCACCCAGGAGCCTGGACTCAACACCTCCCTTCTCCGTACCTTTGCCACGTTCTTTTCTTTCTAGAAAGACTGGCTGCCTTGGGCCCTCAAGGCCATCGACCCCTTGCAAGGACTACATGCTACCACCCAAATCCCCAAAGAGCCTCTCCCAGGGAAGGACCCTGATTGGCTGGGCCTGAATCCCATGCTCCTCTCTGGACCGGTCAGAGGAAATCAGGAAGTGAGGGTGATGTGACATATGGCGGCTTCTACTGCCACCGAGTGAGTTGTGTGTGTGCAGTGGGAGACATGCATGGGTTCTTTTTCTATTCCTGAGATGAGATAACGAGCCAGTAATCCCACAGGTATCCATAGAAGAAGTACATTTGTAAGGAATAATTCATTTTTAGATATTGCTATGGTTTAGATGCAAGGTGTCCCCCAAAAGCTCCTGGGTGAGACAACGCAAAAAAGTTTAGGGGTGAAATGAAAGGATTAGGAGAGCCCTAACCTCATCAGGGCATTAACCACTTGGATAACTGGGTGGTAACTATGGGCAGGCAGGTGTGGTTGGAGGAGGTGGATCACTGGGCGTGCCTTGGAGTTTGTGTTTTGTCCCTGGTGAGCGGAGTTCTGTGCTCCTGATGCCCTGTCTGAGCTGCTCTCCTCTGTCACGTGCTCCCACCATGATGTTCTGCCTGACCTCAGGCCCAGTGCACTAGAACTGGCCATCTGTGGACCGAGACTTCCGAAACCATGAGCCCCAAATAAACTTCTCCACCTTTGAACTTGTTCCATCAGGTCTTTTGGTCACAGACATTTACAGAAGTGATACGTTCTTATTGTACTAAATGCTGCTCATTGAGGGGGAACAAAATCACCCAGGGTGCAACTCTTCTGAAGTCCTGGCCTTGACCCTGGGCAGCTCCCTGGCTGTTCTGGGGTCTCCTGTGCTGTTCCTAAGTGGCCCAGGGCGCAGGCTGGGCCTCGTTTCTACACTCACTCACTCCTGGGGGAGTTGTCCAGCCTCTTCCTGTCACAAAGCTTCCTGAGGGTCTGGGTCTGGCCTCGGCCTCTCCTATCAACACTGGCTAGTGGTGAGTGACCGTCTCTGACACCCGGCTCACCGAGGGATTCTGCTCTCCCAGCTCGCCCGCGGCTTCCAGGTCTTCCCTGCTCCTGGGGCAGCTCAGCCCTCCGGGGTACGTCTTAGAGTCTCCATAGCACCTCAGATCTCCCTGCCTCTTCTTGCACCTGACTGCCAGGGAGGCCCCGGCTTTGCCTTAACGCAGCTCCACGTGGGCTCTGCACCTCCCTGCCCCCTGCGCTGAGCGACTCGGCCTCCCTCCTGCAGTCAGAGCAGCCGCCCAGCTGGTGGCTCCCCTCTCCCGAGGCCCGCCTTTGACCAGCCCAGCCCCACAGGCAGGGGCCTGCTGCAGTCAAGGGCCACACTGCCCCTTCCTCTGGCCTCGGTGGCCTCCTGGCAAGTTCAGGGCACAGGTGTAGGATTTCTTTTG